AAAGGCAGCTCTTCAAATACACATGATTTATGAAGGAAAAATTGACATTCTGGGCAGTAATAAAAAGAACTACCAGCTAATGATTCTGGGCAAACAAAGCAATCAGAACGTAGTTCAACTCTATTGCTGTCGCTAATAAGGTCCTTTTGGATGAAGAAGAGTGGGTGTTCATCAACATCACTTAAAAGATGATCACGTTTTGGGAAATTTTCAGTGACGAATTGTGGGAGAAAGGCACATCTGATGTGAAGGTTGAAACGACAAGAAGAACAATGGTAAAACAATCCTACAAGATAACGGTTATTATGACAAAATTGACAAAGTACTGCACTATCCCTTTTAAGAAGAGTAAGAGTAAGAGTGTGCTTCCGATGGAAGGGGTGATTGATGTTCAATGGTGGCTCAGTCTCAGAACATGGTTTATGAAGGAAAAGCTCACAAACAAGACAAGTGTAAAAGGAAGCATCTGATAACTTTTCTAAGCAAACACTGCAATAGCGGGAAGAAGCTAGTTTAACTCCACGGGGGCTAAGATTTTCGATAAAGGAGAGTGGGTGTTCAACATGAATGTGATGATCAACTTTTGGAAAATCTCCATTGAGGAATTCTGGGAGCAAGGCACATTTGATGTCAAGGTCAAATTCACAAGAAGAACAGCGGTAAACAAATCCAGTGACTCTATTACCACAAAAATGACAACGTGCGAACTTTCTCCTGTGTGGTGTTATGGCAAAAAGAGTAAGAGGATGATTATCGTGAAAGGGGTGAGTGATGTCCAGTGGTAGCTCAGAACATGATTTATGAAGGAAAAACTTACAGTCGATGCATGAATAGAACTGAGCTGAGATTGGCTGCCCACACCCCGATGAGCATTTTACACCTCTAGTCTTACCGTGGACATTATAGCTCCACTTTTCAAAGAAGTGCAGTGGATGTTCATGAAGAAAGTTTTTGGGCTCCATCCGCTCTCTCTCTAAATATACATATCAGAATGCAGATATGTGAGAAAATAGCAAGTGAGATGGGAAATATAAGTCGTTGAAAACTAGCTAGCTAGCTTCAGGTGAGGATGCGGTTCCCATTAAAGCAAGGAGCAACACCGTATTTATAAACTTTAAAAAACTACTTACACCACTGTTGTGTGTGTGTGACAAAAGGAATTGCGTCAAATTAGACTCTCCTGCTTCTCCTTTCCTTTATTCCGTTTTCTTTCTCTTTTGCCCTTTTTCTTTTCCTTGCTCTTTTTCCTTTTTCCATTATCGGCTAATTAAGCAAACAATTAAACATAAAACCTCACTAAGCTCATTCCCAAGTGCAGTATTCATCACACTTGGCATAAAGGCATCATGCTTTTTTACTGTATTATTGCTGAGAATCGCTTTAATGTTTCCCATAGCTTGCATATTTTGTGACCCCACCCCTCTTGCCATTGCTACTTTTTTGTCTGCCGATGCTTAGGGAGTTGGTTATTCCCAGGGACTATTGTAACTAATTTCTTTATGTATTCTTTATTTTCACCCCAAAAAAAATGAAAAAAACTCAGAATACCTTAAAATAATATTAAGAGAGGAAAAATAGGAGTTTTTCACATTCATTTCTAAAACTATCAGAAATAAAGTAAATTAAATTCTATCTAGAAGCAAAAGTAAATAAGTTTAGAAGAGAAGACAATAAATAAGTCTATAAAAATAATATAAAATTATAAATAAAAAATTTCTCATTCAAAATATTGTTGAAAGCTTTCATACTTGTTTGATCTTATAATAATAATATTTTATAAATCCTTTTGTGAGAAGAAGAGAAAGCTAGGCACATGGTAAAAGTTAGGGCGTCTTGTCTCCTCAATCACAGGGAATTTCGATTTGGAAAGAGGTGTTGCTTTATCTTTGAGGCTGGAATCTTGGCTAGGCCTGTGGATCCGTTTGGGCAGTCGGAAACTAATAATATGGCCGGGAAAGGGGTATCTTAATCCACCTCTTTTTTGTTTTTATTGAAATTTGTCTACCTATTTTTTAATTTTATTGAAATGTATAATTATCGATACAAATACACTAATCTTACCGGTTACGAGTAAAACTGCAAATAAGAATTTTAATTTTGTATTTTTTTAATTTAAAAATGTTAATTTTGTTATTTTTTAAATAAAAATGTCAATTTTTAATTTTTTTATTTA